CCCCCCCCCCCCCCGGGGGGGGGGGGGGAGATTTTACTCGGCTGGCTGTGGCTGCTGGGAGTTGGGGTCCTGGATTCCGGAGCAAAGTTTGAAGCGGGTGTGTTTCAAAAACCAAGGGAGGCCTTGCAAAGGAGCACGAGAGAAATTAAGATAAAACGTTTGTGCAACTTCAACGGAAGTGGGTGTGAGCAGATAAGGGCAGTGCCCCCCCTCCAAACCCCCCCACCCCACCCCACCCTCGCGAACTCCTAATATTGGTCCTTGGCGTGTCCAGCTAAGTTGAAAAGGTTTGGGGCAGACCGGAGTTTCCTTAAAGCGAAGTAATTCCACGCATACAGAGGCATCACCATCTCAAAATATTTGCAGAAGCTAAATGAGGACGGATTTGCCTTTGTTAGCTGGCAAATATTTCTATATTTCTATCTGCCTATCTAACTATCTATATCTATATCTATCTATCTATCTATCTATCTATCTATCTATCTATCTATCTATCTATCTATCTATCTATCTATCTATCATCTATCTCTCATTCTCACCTATCATCCATCCATCAAATCTATCTATCTACAGTATCTATCATCTATCTACACTTTTCTTCTAATTTTTCTGTCTTTCTATCCATCCATCCATCCAATCTATCTACATTATCATCTGCATTTTTCTTCTTTTTTCTTTCTATCTATCTATCCATCCATCCAATCTATCTATCTACAGTATCTATCATCTATCTACACTTTTCTTCTAATTTTTCTGTCTTTCTATCCATCCATCCATCCAATCTATCTACACTATCATCTGCATTTTCTTCTTTTTTCTTTCTTTCTATCTATCTATCTATCCATCCATCCAATCTATCTATCTACAGTATCATCTATCTACATTTTTCTTCTATTTTTTCTGTCTATCTATCCATCCAATCTATCTATCTACAGTATCTATCGTCTTTCTGCATTTTTTCTTCTAATTTTTCTGTATTTCTAGCTTTTCCATCCCTCCCATCCATCCATCCATCCATTTATCCATCCATCTCTATCTGTCTATCTGAAACTGACACTATCTTTTCCTTCTTTCTATTTTTCTTCCCTCCCTCTCTCTTTTCTTCCTCTCATCTCCATTTTTTTTCCTTTCTTCCTTCTCCCAGTTCTTCCTCCCTTCCTCCCGGCCTCCCTCATCTGCCTGCCAATCTTCTCTCTTTCTCTCTCTCCCTCTTATCCATCCATCCATCCATCCATCCATCCACCTCCTGAATCTACTTGTTTCCAAGCTCAGCTATCGCCCCGATCCGTTGCCAGGGCTGTAGCCAAAACAGTAGCCAAATCTTTTTCATGAAGGAGTTTTTTGCAGAAATATAGTTTTTGCAGTTTCGATGAGAAGGGCAGAGGCCAGCAGGGGAAAAAAAAAAAGGAAGTGGCATCGGAAAAATAAATCTGTATCTTTAAATAATAATTCTTTTTTTAAAGGGATGAGCTTAAAACTTCAGGCTTGGATATTCAATCTCTGTAAAGGAGTGACTCTCGTCAAGCTGAGTAAATAGGTACAAATTTGAAAAAAAAAAAGCCACCACCTTATCCAAATATTAATTCAGCTCAGGCCACTGGAAAATTAAATAATGCTTCCTTATAATTCCGGCTAACTAGGTGGTTGGCTTTAAGCAACGGGTGTGGCTCTTCAGAGATAAAAGGATTTGCGAATGTATTCAATGAGAACACATTAGCTTAACGATCCACTGAATATTTATTAACGTTATGTTCACAGCATTGGCTTTTAACACCCAAAGGGAAATTTAGTCACGTATAAGCCTCTGCCAGGAATTAGGATTGCAATAAAATTTGAATTTTTTTTTTTTTAAAAAATCCCAGCGTTTTTAAGATCCAAGAATCTGTTCAGGTGCTTTGCTTCCTTGGAAACACTGAGATTCGGGCAGCTAAGATTTCATATATTTATTATTATTCCTTATTTATTATGGCGAACCTGATTTCCAAACTGATTTCCTGCTTTGGTTTTAAACCAAAATAAAAATGGAGATTTGCAATAAAATGGGGCATCCTTTTCCTTCTCATTCTTTCTCCTTAGAATAGAATAGAAACTGGAAGGGACCTCGGAGGTCTTCTAGTCCAGCCCTCTATTCAGGCAGAATAATAGCAGAATAATAGAGATAGGAGGGACCTTGGAGGTCTTCTAGTCCAACCCCCTGCTCAAGCGGAATAATAGAATAATAACAGAGATAGGACCTTGGAGGTCTTCTAGTCCAACCCACTGCTCAAGCGGAATAATAGAATAATAACAGATGGAAGGGACCTTGGAGGTCTTCTAATCCAGCCCCCTGCTCAAGCAGAATAATAGCAGGATAACAGAGATAGAAGGGACCTTGGAGGTCTTCTAATCCAGCCCCCTGCTCAAGCAGAATAATAGCAGAATAACAGAGATAGAAGGGACCTTGGAGGTCTTCTAGTCCAACCCCCTGCTCAGAAGACAGAATAACAGAGTTTGAAGTGACCTTGGAGGTCTTCTAGTCCAGCCCCCTGCTCAAGCAGAATAATAGCAGGATAACAGAGATAGAAGGGACCTTGGAGGTCTTCTAATCCAGCCCCCTGCTCAAGCAGAATAATAGCAGGATAACAGAGATAGAAGGGACCTTGGAGGTCTTCTAATCCAGCCCCCTGCTCAAGCAGAATAATAGCAGGATAACAGAGATAGAAGGGACCTTGGAGGTCTTCTAATCCAGCCCCCTGCTCAAGCAGAATAATAGCAGGATAACAGAGATAGAAGGGACCTTGGAGGTCTTCTAATCCAGCCCCCTGCTCA